TCTCAAAGGGAAATACGTTTTACTCCATTGTTATTGTCTGACCGTTTAAGTTACTTTTTAGATTACAACTTTACAGAGAAAGATATTTTAAAGAGAGCCAATTATCCTTTTTGGGGGGTTTCCCTTTCCTGTAGTGTGCTATGCACGGTTTGGTTAATGTAAAGGGTCTGCAAAGTTACCTCCAGGGGGAGTTTCCCTCCCACGCACTCCCCACCCTCCTGAAACGCCTCCATAGGACTCCTTTATTTACTTCCGTAACATAATGACATCACTGTATAACCCTGGTACTTTTATTTCCTAGCGCTCCAACACATTGTACATGATAGGCTAAGGGGCGGGACATCTCTAAGCAGCTAACCAATCAGAGCAAACTGGGCTATGGTATCAGACAGAGGGTGAAAAGAGGATCTGCAACACAGGCAGTATGAGAAAAATAAAGACCTTTTTGAACATGAAAGCATGTAAACATGTCTCAGTAGTGGCTCAAAATACAATTATGAACCTGAAATGAACATGTCTCCTTTAAATGTCTGTAACTGAAGGATGTAAATGCTCCTTTATGCCTTGAGAAAAGTTTCATTCTGAAACCCCGTTGACTAATGTGTAAAATGCATCGTCACAAAGCTTAAAACAGGGATAAAAAAAATATTCCAGTTGGTTTTTAATTTAAAGTTAACTTTTTAGACACAATTCAAAAACATTATAGATAATCGTAAAACACTCACAGGAAACATATTACATATTACACAGACTGCACAATGTCTACTTTTATTTGTCTTGCTTTAACTACTATTTGCTAATAATGATACATAAGTTAGGTTGTTGTGGACTATTTAAGTTTGCAGTATTTGTACTTTTATTTAATTATTTTAAGTGTTTCAGGGGTCTGTTTGGATGTTTGTCATCGCTCGTCCACCGAGCCACTTACTTTTGAGCTCTTAACTTGTTAATATAACCACTACATTTTATTTCATTTTGATTTGTATAAATGTTCCTTGTGAACATTGTTGAAAAACATAATTCACCTTTCAGAATTTGTACATTTTGGCACAAAAAACATTTTATTTTGAGTGAAATAAGCTGTTTTAAGAAAGGGAAGAATGATACTTATTTTATATGTAGTTGAAAATGACTATGATTGTGATTGTGTTGTCTCTTGTCCAACAGTGTGTAAACCTTGCCTGGACGGCTGGGTGCTGTTTCAGTCAAACTGTTACCTGTTTACATCAGGTACTTGGTCCTCCAATTGGAAGAATTGGCAGGATAGCCGCTCTGATTGCCAACAAATGCGTGCGGATCTGGTGGTGATTGAGAGCTTGGAGGAACAGGCAAGAACGATTTGATTTAATTTATAATGTCATGCTCAAATAAAGCCAAAGAGCATCTCCATCTCTGTTTCATAGCCAGACAATATACTGTGTGACCACATACAACTGACACAAAAGATGATTGTTTAAGAATAAATTATGCAGTAAACCATATAGTGTAAAAAATGTTTTTTTAAAAACCACCCACTGTAAGCTTCACAGCTAGTTGAAGTCCTGCATTTTATACATTTGTAATCCTTTCCGCTATGTTTTTTAATGTTCCTTTCTGCTGTTTCTGTGTTTTTACGTTTATTATTTTTCTTTGTGATATACATTTTATTGCATCTTTTTGTATGAAATGTGTTGTAGTTATCTAAATGATAGTTATATTTTATATGACACTTTTCTATATTGACAACTGTATCAAAACATCTAGGAATTCATCTATAACCACACAGAGCACTATGATGATGACAATCATGGATATTGGATCGGCTTTACCAAGACGGACACGTGGACGTGGGTAGATGGACGCAACCTCACTGTGACGTAAGCACACAAAAACACTCACCATCACTCAAAAGCTGCCACATCATCACCACAGTGATTTAGACACATGTCTTTATCACACACCTGACCAGGTTGGCAGCCTTTTCCCCTGTGTGCTGCATTTTGAACTTTGTGTGACTGGGATTTAGTGAAATATGACACACAGGGAAATTTATGCAAAAATCACCCAGTTTCTTAAAATGGCAGATGGTGAAATGAGTAAAAAGCAGATGGGGAAACACCTTTCAACATGTCGGTCTCCTTCAGTAACACCAAAGACCAAACCTTGCCAGAGAAAGCAAGAGGGATGAAGAAACAAACGCAGCACGGTATCAAAAGTAAATGTGTGACACCAGAGGCAAATGTCCTTAAGACATAAAAAAAAGACCACTTCCAACATGCACATTTATTTTACTATACTTTGCCAATTTGCATCTGTATATTTCCAATATTCACTATGTGTTGCCATTAGATAATGTCAAATTTAAATATTTTAGTATAACTTTTCAGAAAACTTTTCATAATGTTCTCACAATAATGGATGTTTTGTCATAATGTCATTCATAACCTGATTTCTATAACACTGTATACCTAAAAAACATAGCTTAAAATGATTTTGTTCATGTTTTTATTTTATTTTTGAACGATACAAAGAGATATCCTAAATTCCATCTATAAAAACATTGTTTCTAGTATGTCAACAAATTCAAACAAGAATTTTTAAACCAATGTTTATATATCTAGGCCTCAGTTCCAGTTACCGATGACCCACTCCCCCAAATCAAGTGGCTCATTGGGAATTGGGGGTGAGGCCTAGGTCAGTTACCGATATATAGTAAGATAGTGCCTAATCTTGATGTTCAAATTTCAGTAAACCTGTCGGCCATGAAAGCGAACAAATTTATTTGCAAAAACATTTGTCACATTGATTGATTCCATGATCTTTTTTCCTTCACCAGGTTCTGGAAACAACAAGATGACTGCAACAGAGGGAATTGTGTTTTGAGTCAGCAGAAAGCAGATCCTCCGGCCAACTGGTGCAGAAAGAACTGCTCGATGAAGAACCGCTGGATCTGTGAAACAAGAGCTTTGATCAAACAAGATTAGGCTTTGACTATATCATCCAAATGGGTTATTTAACATTCAATACTTCTTCTTTATGTCTTCTTCTCAAAGCTGTCTTATAGTGTTTCTCCTGTTTGAGTTTTTTCCTTACTGTCTTTTTGTAAATTATTGCCAGTTCTACAAATGCTGCAGAGTACTACTTGAGATATGGTATGCTTCAATACATGTGTGTATTAAAGAAAGTCAATAAAGACTATCCATCCAATATCTATGTGTTTTACTTTGTACTGTGTATGTGTTATAACATGCTCATTTCCCTATACATCTATACTTGTTGGCTACACGTGTACAAGCTAATGCAATGTTACATCATGTTCAAGGTACACGGTCATATGTGATATAATTCAACTATATGTAGCATTAAGCTGATATTGAGTTGTGTTGTTGTACTGGATTTGAAAGAAGTAGGACAACAATTAGAAACAATATAATTCAAACTAGTACAACTTGAATTAATCATTTAATAAACACATGTCTACTTGTTTGCTCCTGTGTGAGTAATGTTTACCAAACACTACAGTGCACCTCTCTTTTAGGAAACTTCTGAGCCCTGTTGGAAGAAGTACTCAATACTCTGGTCCTAAAATACTAAAGTTCTTAAGTAAAAGTACAAAAGTAATATCATTAGAATATACTTAAAGTAAAGAAAGTAAAGTAACTCATTCTGCACAATAACCCATTTCAGAATAATATAGCACAGAAGTTTTATCTGCTTAATGTACTTCAAGTATCAAATGTAAAAGTACTTGTTGCAGAATTAATCTTCTCACAGTATTATATTTGTAGGGTTATTATGTTATCCTGTTTTTATACATTTAAGAGTATTTTGCTGTTGTAGTTTGTCAGTACTGCATTATACCATATAAATATCATCATATCATTTGTATGCCTGTTTTATAACTGGGAGTGTTAAAATAAATGTAGCGGTGTAAAACGTATGTCGTTCATCTTTCAAATGAAGTGGAGTATAGTACAAATATTTCAAAAAAGTCCTTATGTACAATACTTATGTATAATACTTGTGTATAATATACTGACTTTTGTGATGTCTACCACTGACTCTGAGCAATCATATGTATGTAGTCCGTAGAAACAAATGGTGTTTGGGCAGAGTGTTGGACAGACAGGGGAGGAAAGGCCGACAAATTGTTGACAACATCAAAAAAGCAGAATATTGCAAGCCTTTTTTTAGCATGGTGACAATAAGTGATTTCATCTCATCAATGATGTGTATTGTAACCCTGATTATCAGTAACAATAACCAGATGATGAACCTGACAGGTTCAAAGGTGAACTTCAGTAAGAGTGCAGTTTAAATGTGTCAACTTCCTGTATCGCAACAGCGTGTACATTTGGTTGTTGCAGCAGCAGAGGGTCTTCTGAAAACACACAATAGAGACATCTTGTGTTGAAAAGAGTGGATTTATTTAATAGATGCATTTGTAAACGTTTACATGCAAAATGTAATATGATCCACTGTTCTACAACTTCATTTAAAACAGCTTTATAAACAGGACTTCATAAATGTTTTTACACTCAGTATACACAGCTCCAGTTAACCGGCTAAGGTTAAGAAAAAAAGACAGTATTTCATTTAAAAGCAATACCTCTAAACGTCTAGTGCCATGGCTAATTTATTATAACATTTATTTACATTGAGAAATATATTTATTATTTAATATATTAAGACAAATATTTTTCTCACTTCAACAAATGAAGTTGTTCCATGATATCTGATGTGTTTGGCTATAATATTAAATTATTGCATAGATTTAGGGTCTAAACTTAAATAAACTAGACTAAACCTGAAATGAATCTCTGTGTGATATAACAATACGTTGCCTGAGAAAATGAACTACAGAATAATGCACTATTAACTACTTTTACTACTTCAGCTGTTTGCTATACATTTTCCACTGATAATGAATTAAAACACACATTTCAGATGTATGTTTCTTTGGTTTCCTGTTTCATCTACCTCAGGTTTTGAGACCCTTTAGTGAGAACAGGAACCTTGTCACTTGAAATGCAGTCACACTGCAGAAAGGGAAGTGACTTTCAAAAGTCACTTAGCTCACAACTTAAAGTTTTAATTTCCTTCAAACTCTTTTGCATTTTGCAGAGAAACCAAACAACATGGAAGCAATCTGCGATGAGGTGCAGACATTGCAGAATAATGTGTTGGATGCAGATCCTGCCATTCCAGGTTTGTTATGGATCTAAAGAAATTGAAAATAACAATAATTTGCCATGAATTTTTTGAATGAATTGATTGTTTTTCTGTTCTTCGTAGAAAAGGAAAAGAAAGCTCAAAGATACACTCTGCTTCATCTGGTGGCTGTGGCTTTGGGGATTATTGGTTTCATCTTGGTGTCGACCTTCATCGCCGTCAGAATCCACTGTAAGTCTGTCTACCTGATTACATGGTTTAGTTTAGTTAAAACAACAAGTGAGTGCAAATGTAACAGTTTCCTCCCTTAATCGGTCACACAGTCATGTCAGAGCAGCACAGAGAAGGAAACAGCTTGATGGCAGAGATTCTGCAGCTGCGGACAGAAATGACGGATTTAAAGACACAGAGAGAAGAGCTGACCAGAGAGAGAGACCAACTCAACTGGACCCTCGGAGTCATCATGGAATATCAAGACCTCCCTGTGAAAACATTCTGCCCACAGAAAGGTAAACACATGGTGTCATTGGTGAAAGGGATTAACTCAAGTTAAGTACATGTTTTAGGTATTTGTGCTTTACTTGAGTCACTTTTGCTCCAGTGCATCTCAAAGGGAAATACGTTTTACTCCATTGTTATTGTCTGACCGTTTAAGTTACTTTTTAGATTACAACTTTACAGAGAAAGATATTTTAAAGAGAGCCAATTATCCTTTTTGGGGGGTTTCCCTTTCCTGTAGTGTGCTATGCACGGTTTGGTTAATGTAAAGGGTCTGCAAAGTTACCTCCAGGGGGAGTTTCCCTCCCACGCACTCCCCACCCTCCTGAAACGCCTCCATAGGACTCCTTTATTTACTTCCGTAACATAATGACATCACTGTATAACCCTGGTACTTTTATTTCCTAGCGCTCCAACACATTGTACATGATAGGCTAAGGGGCGGGACATCTCTAAGCAGCTAACCAATCAGAGCAAACTGGGCTATGGTATCAGACAGAGGGTGAAAAGAGGATCTGCAACACAGGCAGTATGAGAAAAATAAAGACCTTTTTGAACATGAAAGCATGTAAACATGTCTCAGTAGTGGCTCAAAATACAATTATGAACCTGAAATGAACATGTCTCCTTTAAATGTCTGTAACTGAAGGATGTAAATGCTCCTTTATGCCTTGAGAAAAGTTTCATTCTGAAACCCCCGTTGACTAATGTGTAAAATGCATCGTCACAAAGCTTAAAACAGGGATAAAAAAAATATTCCAGTTGGTTTTTAATTTAAAGTTAACTTTTTAGACACAATTCAAAAACATTATAGATAATCGTAAAACACTCACAGGAAACATATTACATATTACACAGACTGCACAATGTCTACTTTTATTTGTCTTGCTTTAACTACTATTTGCTAATAATGATACATAAGTTAGGTTGTTGTGGACTATTTAAGTTTGCAGTATTTGTACTTTTATTTAATTATTTTAAGTATTTCAGGGGTCTGTTTGGATGTTTGTCATCGCTCGTCCACCGAGCCACTTACTTTTGAGCTCTTAACTTGTTAATATAACCACTACATTTTATTTCATTTTGATTTGTATAAATGTTCCTTGTGAACATTGTTGAAAAACATAATTCACCTTTCAGAATTTGTACATTTTGGCACAAAAAACATTTTATTTTGAGTGAAATAAGCTGTTTTAAGAAAGGGAAGAATGATACTTATTTTATATGTAGTTGAAAATGACTATGATTGTGATTGTGTTGTCTCTTGTCCAACAGTGTGTAAACCTTGCCTGGACGGCTGGGTGCTGTTTCAGTCAAACTGCTACCTGTTTACAGCAGGTACTCGGTCCTCCAATTGGAAGAATTGGCAGGATAGCCGCTCTGATTGCCAACAAATGCGTGCGGATCTGGTGGTGATTGAGAGCTTGGAGGAACAGGCAAGAACGATTTGATTTAATTTATAATGTCATGCTCAAATAAAGCCAAAGAGCATCTCCATCTCTGTTTCATAGCCAGAAAATATACTGTGTGACCACAAACAACTGACACAAAAGATGATAGTGTAAAAATTGTTTAAAAAAAACCCACTCACTGTAAGCCTCACAGCTAGTTGAATTCTGCATTTTATACATTTGTAATCCTTTCCGCTATGTTTTTTAATGTTCCTTTCTGCTGTTTCTGTGTTTTTACGTTTATTGTTTTTCTTTGTGATATACATTTTATTGCATCTTTTTGTATTAAATGTGTTGTAGTTATCTCAATTATAGTTATATTTTATATGACACTTTTCTATATTGACAACTGTATCAAAACATCTAGGAATTCATCTATAACCACACAGAGCACTATGATGATGACAATCATGGATATTGGATCGGCTTGAGCAAGACGGACACGTGGACGTGGGTAGATGGACGCAACCTCACTGTGACGTAAGCACACAAAAACACTCACGATCACTCAAAAGCTGCCACATCATCACCACAGTGATTTAGACACATGTCTTTATCACACACCTGACCAGGTTGGCAGCCTTTTCCCCTGTGTGCTGCATTTTGAACTTTGTGTGACTGGGATTTAGTGAAATATGACACACAGGGAAATGTATGCAAAAATCGCCCAGTTTTTTAAAATGGCAGATGGTGAAATGAGTAAAAAGCAGATGGGGAAACACCTTTCAACATGTCGGTCTCCTTCAGTAACACCAAAGACCAAAACATTGCCAGAGAAAGCAAGAGGGATGAAGAAACAAACGCAGCACGGTATCAAAAGTAAATGTGTGACACCAGAGGCAAATGTCCTTAAGACATAAAAAAAGACCACTTCCAAAATGCACATTTATTTTACTATACTTTGCCAATTTGCATCTGTATTTTTCCAATATTCACTATTTGTTGCCATTAGATAATGTCAAATTTAAATATTTTAGAATAACTTTTCAGAAAACTTTTCATAATGTTCTCACAATAATGGATGTTTTGTCATAATGTCATTCATAACCTGATTTCTATAACACTGTATACCTAAAAAACATAGCTTAAAATGATTTTGTTCATGTTTTTATTTTATTTTTGAACGATACAAAGAGATATCCTAAATTCCATCTATAAAAACATTGTTTCTAGTATGTCAACAAATTCAAACAAGAATTTTGAAACCAATGTTTATATATCTAGGCCTCAGTTCCAGTTACCGATGACCCACTCCCCCAAATCAAGTGGCTCATTGGGAATTGGGGGTGAGGCCTATCAGTTACCGATATATAGTAAGATAGTGCCTAATCTTGATGTTCAAATTTCAGTAAACCTGACGGCCATGAAAGCGAACAAATTTATTTGTAAAAACATTTGTCACTGATTGATTCCATGATCTTTTTTCCTTCACCAGGTTCTGGAAGCAACAAGATGGCAGCAACAGAGGGGATTGTGTTTTGAGTCAGCAGAAAGCAGATCCTCCGGCCAACTGGTGCGGAAAGAGCTGCTGGATGAAGAACCGCTGGATCTGTGAAACAAGAGCTTTGATCAAACAAGATTAGGCTTTGACTATATCATCCAAATGGGTTATTTAACATTCAATACTTCTTCTTTATGTCTTCTTCTCAAAGCTGTCTTATAGTGTTTCTCCTGTTTGAGTTTTTGTACTTTTTGTAATTCATTGCCAGTTCTACAAATGCTGCAGAGTACTCCATTACCTTTGAGATATGGTATGCTTCAAAACATGTGTGTATGTATTAAAGAAATTCAATAAAGACTATCCATCCAATATCTATGTGTTTTACTTTGTACTTTGTATGTGTTATAACATGCTCATTTCCCTATATATCTATACTTGTTGGCTACACGTGTACAAGCTAATGCAATGTTACATCATGTTCAAGGTACACGGTCATATGTGCTATAATTCAACTATATGTAGCATTGAGCTGATATTGAGTTGTGTTGTTGTACTGGATTTGAAAGAAGTAGGACAACAATTAGAAACAATATAATTCAAACTAGTACAACTTGAATTAATCATTTAATAAACACATGTCTCCTTGTTTGCTCCTGTGTGAGTAATGTTTACCAAACACTACAGTGCACCTCTCTTTTAGGAAACTTCTGAGCCCTGTTGGAAGAAGTACTCAATACTCTGGTCCTAAAATACTAAAGTTCTTAAGTAAAAGTACAAAAGTAATATCATTAGAATATACTTAAAGTAAAGAAAGTAAAGTAACTCATTCTGCACAATAACCCATTTCAGAATAATATAGCACAGAAGTTTTATCTGCTTAATGTACTTCAAGTATCAAATGTAAAAGTACTTGTTGCAGAATTAATCTTCTCACAGTATTATATTTGTAGGGTTATTATGTTATCCTGTTTTTATACATTTAAGAGTATTTTGCTGTTGTAGTTTGTCAGTACTGCATTATACCATATAAATATCATCATATCATTTGTATGCCTGTTTTATAACTGGGAGTGATAAAATAAATGTAGCGGTGTAAAACGTATGTCGTTCATCTTTCAAATGAAGTGGAGTATAGTACAAATATTTCAAAAAAGTCCTTATGTACAATACTTATGTATAATACTTGTGTATAATATACTGACTTTTGTGATGTCTACCACTGACTCTGAGCAATCATATGTATGTAGTCCGTAGAAACAAATGGTGTTTGGGCAGAGTGTTGGACAGACAGGGGAGGAAAGGCCGACAAATTGTTGACAACATCAAAAAAGCAGAATATTGCAAGCCTTTTTTTAGCATGGTGACAATAAGTGATTTCATCTCATCAATGATGTGTATTGTTACCCTGATTATCAGTAACAATAACCAGATGATGAACCTGACAGGTTCAAAGGTGAACTTGAGTAAGAGATACAGTTTAAATGTGTCAACTTCCTGTATCGCAACAGCGTGTACATTTGGTTGTTGCAGCAGCAGAGGTACTTCTGAAAACACAGATTAATTAAATAGGGACATTTTGTGTAATTCATGCCCGCAAAGCTGAAGCTCCAACCTCTCTGTCTGAGGTAGTCAAAAAACTGATAGGTTGCAATAAACAGAGTGTAAAGGGGAAGAGGAACCTCTACTTTGTTTATCTTTTGTTTGAAAATGTTTTCAGTCACACACTCAATCTCATTCTCTGAACCATACGCTGATCTTTGACTTTTAAGGATGGAAGAAATAGATTATTCTACGGTTGTTTTTGGAGATGTACGTGCAGCTCCAAAAGGTAAGGGACTGTTGCTTTATTAAAAGTGTAGACTTTTTAATATCTATTTAAGGGTTCTGTGTGGGAGAATCAAACTCTTCTAGTCACATAAATCAGTTGTTTTCACTCGTTTGCAAGATTTCAAAAGCTCTGTGAATGAACACAAAGTTTGAAATGTAAAGTAATGTCACTTCTATGATGCACATTATCGTACATACAGGTTTAATTTACTTTTATCAACATCACCATTTCAAGTAATTGGTTTTCTCCATAGTTTTGCTGCAGGAATTTGTAAGTGAAACAAGCACCAAAGCAGCAAATGCATCTTCCGGAAGTTGTTAAATCTCTTTAAACAATCGACAAAAAGGATCACACAGGTGTCCATCTTAGATATACAGTCTAGGGTACATCCAAACACGAGACAACAAAAAAGAGGCTTACTCAAGACAGCAAAAAGACTATGATTTCCAAATGATACGTACTTAATTCTGCTGTCCTCTCAGATGTAATATCGTGCTGCACCACCACCATTGAAATAAATAATTTATAATATTTGACCTCTTTAAGTGTCCCATCCTATAACACTTGGAATGGACATTGACATAAATTATCAACAGAAAGTGCTTTACCATTATTAACACAAGACATTTTAATGTATCGGAGTGAAGAATCATTCATATTATTTCAGTTGTTTCTTTGTGTCCTTGTGTTGTTATTCTGCTGTCCAGAAAGAAAAGAGGACCCAACAATTTATTCCGAAGTAAAACCTTCGGGGGCTGCTTCTACTGTACCAAGTGAGCTATAACAACAGTTTTTATTTCATCAGTAAAGTTTTACAACCTCATAAACGAAAACATATTATTTACTTGTTTGTAAAGTATAAGACTTTACACTTGATAATGAAAGAAAGCTAAATTTGTCCTGTAACATTTTGTAATTGAAACATGGATGTTTTTCTGTATCAAATCAATTTGCTAAATTAAAAGCGCCTAAAATACATCAATAATCTTTAATATGTCCTGTATGGTTATAGTCGTTAACATGTTGGTCATAAGGGATTTGTTTTGTGCTCGTAAGTGTCAATAATTTAATCTGAAGAAAAAGAGACAACAGTGTATTACAAAATGACAAATGTATTTTCTGTGCACCCATCATCACGTTGATATCACTTGGTTATAATTACAACTGTGATTGAAGTGTGATTTGTCTCATTACAAGCAGATGGTGAAGCAGCTGCATGCTCTCACTCTCACTTGCTGGCGGTGTGTTTGGGGATACTGTGTTTCCTCTTGGTGGCGAGCATCAGTGCCATCGTCTACTGTGAGTTTCATGTCAACACACCGAGTAACTCTCAATAAATAATAACAGCAGCTTTAATAATATTTAGACCAGCTGAGTCCGTGTGGGTTGGTATTGCTATTTCATGTGAGTTCAGATTTCTCAGATTTGTGCCTGCTGTTGTTTAAAGGTGGGGTGTGTAATTTTGGAGAAACCAGCTCGAGTGCGCTAGAATTTGAAAGTACACAACCGGAAATAATCTGCCCCTTCCTTCAGACTTCCTTATAGAGCCCCTCCTCCAACACACACGAACGCGCACATGACCAATGAGGGCACGAGATAAGTTTGTGCACAGATGGAAGGCTGACAGGCAGGTAGGCCATCCAGTTATTTTAGTCGGGCCGGCTAAAATGATTGGTCGTGCTTTTTACAGCGCTACGGCTTCCACAGGTGAAATTTTTTAATGTATTTATTGTCAAAGCATTTAATTTATTGATTGCTATCGGGATGTTAAGAGCATTCCATGGAATATAACAAAAAGTGTTTCTGAAATAAATTACATACCCCACCTTTAAATATCAGTCATCAATTTTATTTTCGTTATGATTGTTCAGTTAGATCTAATACACACATCTGTTTTTTCCACATATGTATATTATTATTATTTATTGTATAATATTACAGCATACAGTATTCATTAGATTTAAATATATATTTTATTTCAATTGAAATGTCTATATGTTTCTTATGCCTGCATTTTACTTGCTCCATTGTGTCTCTTGGACTCCCTTAAGTATGGTATGTTGCCTTGTTGTACGAGACTATTACTAGACATTCATTGACACAAACTGAACTGGTTAACAGTGCATATGACAATACAACTTTAGAATGTTTTCTCTGTTTTAATATGATCTTCAAAGACTATACAAGATGGAAAGTAAGTAGGGTAGAAAATCAGTCTACAATAACACTGTATGGAAAATAAGGCTTCTCTTAAAACAGGGAATGCACCACAGTTTGTTGTCTGAGTGTTTGATGTGTACTTCTCATTCTCACCACAGTCAGTGTGTTGATGACTGAGCAGAAATCAAACCTCAGCGTCCTCACAGCAGAAAATGAGCAGCTGATAACGGAGAGAAACCTCTTAGAGCGAGAGACGGAGCAGCTGAGCAGAGTCACTGACAACCTGAACTGGACGCTGTCAATCATCCTGAGGTTTGACACCTTCCCCGTTCACGACTACTGCCCAGATAAAGGTAGGTGCATCCTGCTATGTTGACGCACCAGTATGTTCTTCATCTTAAAATATAAGCTTGTTGCAAATATCCATTTATTTTATGATGAAGAGTACAATGGCCATGAATGTATCACAATATTCTCCTATTCAACTCCTATCAACTTGAAGTTTTTACCAGCAACACATTTTGAGTTGGATACAAATAAAACTGTAAAATAAACTGCATCATTTTATTAGGTTGTCGAGTTAGCAGAGAGGTATTGAAAACACCTGTGGTTTATTCAAACTGAAACTGCAACAGAAAGCACATTCATTATTATTTTTGTGAGCATCATTTTCAATTTCCTATATCTTTGTTTCTGTTTGTGTGTTTTTAAAAGAACATATTTGAACTTATCCTTTTTTTCATGAATGCAGAGTGTCAGCCGTGTCTGAAAGACTGGATTCAGTTTGAGGAGAAGTGCTACCTGTTTTACAATGAAGAAGCTCCTTGGATGACAGCGCCAGAGAGCCAAACGTATTGCAGAAACAAAGCTGCAGATCTGGTTGTTATCGATAGTCTGCATGAACAGGTGAGCTCTAACAGCATGGAGCCAAAGTTAATCAAGTTTTTATTTGTGTTTCAATTGAAATGTAGACATAACATGAACATACATTTACATCCAAAATGCAATGGGAAAAGTTGTAATCTATTCATTTGTGCATGCTTCTGATGACCTCTCTCTGTACGACTTACAGGAATTCATCAGTAATCACACAAAGTATTACTACGACGAGTTTCATGGATACTGGCTCGGGTTATATACAACTAATAACAAAGACTGGGTTTGGATTGATGGACGTAATGGCACTCTAGGGTAAGAGAGATTTATTTTCAATATACAATTGAACTCGCTCATTTTAGCCTAATGACTATTCACACTCATAACAAGAAACATATGATGAGCCGTCAAGGTGTTTTTTAGAAACATATACAAGGTTGTTAAAAAAAGCAAGGCAGTGCATCTGGTTTATCACCGCTGAGGTTTACACATACACAACATTTTCTTTATTTATTTTATTTATTTATTTATTTATTTATTTATTTGACAGGGACAGTGCACATTGATTGACATTTCTGTAAATGCGCCAGAGTTAGCCAACAGGCTATTTTTCATCTGCAGTCCCTGGACAGATGTTGAAAGTCATCCTAACATTTTTCTTTTTACTTCAAATGACAGGTAAATACAATCAGTAAAACAACATTCAACATAGATGCTTATATTATGATAAAAGCATATATAAAAACATAAAAACAAAACTAAAATACATATTCACAAAGCAGACAGATAGCAACAGGTCAAGGCACATGTACAAACAGAGCGTTGTAAAGTGCAGATTGTGTCAGTGTTGACAGAGCTGATTTTCCACTAACCATGTTTTTAAGTTAGATTTAAATAAACTGCAGGTGTTTTGTTCTCTCATCTTTACTGGGATTGAGTTCCACTGTTGTGCAGCTTTAAAAGAAAAAGAAGATTGGCTGAATGAACTCTTCCTTAATGGAACAACGCAGTCTCCTCTTGTTGCAGCTCTTGTTGACCTAGTTACAGGTGATAAAATATCTTAGCGGAGGTGAGGTAAGGCCGTGTATTATTTTGTTCATGAGGCAAGCATTTGCATATCTCATTACATTTTCCCAGCTCAACAAGTTATATTTTGTGAGTATTGGGCAATGATGAGAATAAACTGATTTCTTATCTATTTTAAGTGTTTGTTTGTATAATGATTCCAGGGGTTTAAGAGTGGTTGTACAGGCATGTGACCAGGTTGTTAAGCAGTATGTGATGTGAGAGAACCATAGAGTGAATGTACATCAGAGCCGCCTCTGTTGACATGCAATCTCTGGTAAACCTCAAATTTGACAGACTGAATTTGACCCTGTTGCAGACCTTTTTCACCTGAGCCTTAAAATTGAGTCTTGAATCAATTAAGACCCCCAGGTATTACTGTGAGACCACCTGTAGCCTCTCCCCCGGACTTTATGTATGCACAACTATACCCTTTGGTGTATAGTTGTGCATACATAAACATAGGTAAGACGAATTAAGATGTAAAATAACAGCAAATATAGAAATATTACAAAATCTCAATTAGTCAATCAATTGCATTCCAGAAACACTTTGTTGGTTAGGGACTTTTTAAAGGAAAAATATGTCTTGTTCAGGCTTCAAAAATGTTAATGATAAAAACAAATATAATATACAAGCAGTTATATTGGTATGTATTGGTATTTTTACTTTTAATCTCTAATGACATTTTCCTGATTAAACTTACATACGTTTAGCTAATTACCATTTCCAATGCAGGACCTGTAACATTTCTATGGTGTTTATTTGTATTTTCACTTAAGTAAAGGTTCTAAATACTTCCTCCTTGACAGGCAGTAATATAATTAAAGGTACTGATATCCATGCTGTGTGTTTGAAGGTACTGGATAGGGGAGAGCTTTGGGGATCCAGGCCGGTGTGCACTGATGATCCCTGGGAGGAATGTGACAGCCAGCTGGGATCCAGCAGACTGTGGGATGCAAAACAAATTCATCTGTGAGAGCGACGTTCTAGTTAAGGTCTAACTAGTTAATGCTTTGATGTGAGCAAGTAGCTTTTCATGTTGTGGGCAGAACTGCATTTCCCTAACTGTAGCATTACCAATTTGGAAAAATAATGATTTAGTATGTAAGTGTTCATCCTTTTGAAACCTGTACCACTGTTTCAAAAAGTTTTAAAACTTATTTTATTAGCTTTTACATTTGGAAAGAATAAGAAAATTCACACCATTTTAAAATAATAACTTTTTAATCAGAATCAGTTTTATTACCAAGTAGGTTTACACATACGAGGAATTTGCTTTGGTATAAGTGGTGCATACAGAGACACAGAAAGAAGAATACGTAAAACAAATAGTACAATTATAAAAGCTAAGACTATTGCAACAAATACAAAATAAAGACAATATTTACACAAAATATAGTTGTGTAGGAAACTGAGTGCTGTCAAATGTAATAAAATATGACAATAGTATATACTATATTCAAAGTGGAGAGTTGTGCTGAGTTAAAAAGGGGTAGCATGGAGCAGAAATGTGCAACATGCAGGATTTACTTTATTAAAAAGAACAATGTTAATGTTCCTAAATGTATGACTTAGTATGTAAGTGTTCTTCTTCTGAAACCTGTACCACTGTTTCAAAAAGAGTTTCTAAAATGTATTTTATTAGCTTTAATATTTGTGTAAACAGATATCTATGTTGACTGTCTGAACGTGAAACTACTAAACCTAGACATCTTGATGACAAACCACCGTCATGGTTGTAGTAACTCTCAAAGGAGAAATCAAAGCCTGTATGTACTATCTTAACTCAGAAGAATACAGGTGGTTGGAACATGTGAAGTGTTGCCGCCAATGATCTGAAACACAAACTCCTTTAAACTTTCCGCAACGTCTTCACCAAACATTTGAAAGCTTTTGCAACTCATGTTTGTTCCTGCGGTCGTCTTGCTGCATGTTGTGCACTCAAAAGTTTCTGGTGTTACATACATGTCCCAAAAGTTTTTTTTTTTTTTTTACATGTATGCCCTTTTATTCACACCAATGTTTTATATTGTTGTATATTTTGGTATTAAAGTTTGTTTTGTTACTTCTGTTGTATCAGTCGGTCTGTTGTATCAAACTGCTGTTGTTCATTCAATTGTTATTTCTACCTTTTATTATAGGTAATGATTTAAAGAATACAGCTGCGTGTATTATGTAAAGTCATGTTGTAAAAATATTTCACATCACTTTTTTTTGCAGGTAAAAGGCCTTTTTTCTGTTTAATGTTTACGGTATCATATGAAAATGTTTTAGACATAGAAGTACCTTGTTGACACATAACCTTATGTCCTTCTCCTCTCAAACTTCCCTTAATCAGGTGTAACTCAGATTGTATAAAGAAAAAAAGGCTTAAAGATTTCTGATATTTTCTGAGTATAAAAGTCAGATAATGAACCGGAGAAATTAAAGGGCCAAGATACAAATATCAGCATCAGTCCAGTACATCGAACAAATAAAAAGTTGTTCAGTTTGAAGCATTGAGTCATTTAATTTGCATACAAAGTTCAGAATTTCATGGAATACAAAACGCTTCATCTGTGTACTTCGATGTGTTGTCGATAAAATAATGACACACTTCTCAAACACCATTAAGAAGAGTGAATTCATGTTGCGTTAAGTTACACTGAATTCCTTACATTTCATATACATTTTCAACCAAATGCTTATTTGACATAGTGGTCCACACAGGCAGCTTACTATTAGCTTTTCGAGCTATAATTAGTTGCATGTCCCATCTTAGCTTTTTATTTTGTTTACGTTTGGAAACGCTGGGCTTGAACACTGTGTCTCTTAGTAGAGCACTGACTCTCCAAATGAATGACCTGTAGCATCAAATTAAAAGACCTGACTGATTAAAATGAACACATTTCATGTTGTATACAAATCAACAGTCTTACAAAGTCTGCATCCTCAGCACATTACTACATATACCTTATATGCTCAGTTATCTCTGGAACATCATAAATTCATCAGACAATATTGATGGAGAAACCTATTTGCATACAATACTGATGGAGGTCATCATCTGGTTTCAAGTCTGAATCAGGAAGATATTCTCCAATCAGATCCGGAAGTTTGGCACATAACTTCCCATTCAAAAGGTAAGCCAGACAAATAATTATCAATGTCCCAACGTTTAAATCAATTCACTACTCTTTTGATTTCTTCTTTTTCTTCTTCTTTGGGGGAAGTTCCTCCTTGTTTGTATCGTCATCTACTGTTGACTTGTCCTTTTTGCACTTTTTTCTTTTCTGCTTCACTCTCGCTTCTTCCTCCTTTACTTCAGCTTCCTCAAATAAATCAGCAGCCTTTTGATTTTTTGTGGTTTTTGGAGCGCAGTCCTGCTCTGTATCGTGACCCTCCTCTTCCTCAGCAGCTTCTCTGTGCTCTTTGGAAGACTTCTTCTTTTTCTTCTTCTTCTTCACCTCTCGGTCAGTGTGCAGCTCGGCAGCCTCCTCTGGACTCTCGCTCTCTGCTGCAGGTGAAGGCGTTTCATCATTTTGCTCTGCATGGTTTCTCTTTTTTTTATGTTTCCTCTTTGTAGTTTGAGAAAGTTCTGCTTCACCGTTTCCTGCACAGATCCCATCCGCTTCAGTTGAAACGGTATCCCTTGTTTCCTCAGTGGCTCTCTTTTTCTTCTTTTTCTTTTTGTGTTTAACATCTGTTTCAGTACTTTCAGATGCATCATTTGGCTCTTGAACATTCTCAGTGGATTCCTTCTTTTTTCTGTGAGAGTCCTCTACTGCCGCCTCCTGCTGCTTCTCAGCTGACTTGGAGGTCGCTGCAGTCGGTGTAACACAAACAGGTGGAGCACTGACTGGTTGGGTCTTCTTGCCCCACTTAGCCATGAACACGGCCTCCTGCTGCTCTAGTCTGGCCAACTTGGCGCTCATTGTAAAGCCATGTCGTGCTCCTCTGAAAAAACAAAACAAAATGCTTCAGAGATGAGCTTCATTATAAATATTAAAGGTCTCATGTCATGCTTTTCCGGTTATTACCCGTCCCCTTGTGTGTTATGTAGCTTTTTCTGCATGTAAACGGTCTGCAAAGTTACAAACCCTCAAAGTACACCCTGTAGCGAGTAAAACTCTAACACAGAAATGACGTGTCTATGCTGCCCCAGAACGCCTCGTTGGACATTTTCTTTTTTCATTATTTTCTGTGTGACGTAACGACGATCCAAATGGACCAATCCGCGGAGCTCCTCTCACACACACACACACACACACACACTCAGCCTTATTTTTCTCAGCTGCAGCTCCGCGGATTTCTCAGCCTGGACTCAGCGTGACACGCCAGCGTGACACGCCAGCGGGACACGCAGCAACCAGGAAACCACACCAGCAAGCCAGCTCACACTGTCCGCTCCTCGCAGCAGTGAGCCGCGCAACGTCCCGCCAACACGGCACCCAGACCCCCCGCAGCATTCTCATCTGTTTGTCATTACTGGTGTAATTTTTTGGTTGCTAACGCCATTGTAACACATAATCACTGATGTTCCGCTCTAACGGTGGTGGACTCATCAGAACAGAGTGGCGAGCTGACCAATCAGAGCACACTGGGCTCATAGGGAGGGGGAGGGGGGGGGGGCAGGAGCTCCAACAAGCAGTGTAGGACAGAGAGTGAATACACATACTATACAGAGATGCTGTATGAGAAAACAATGTGATTTTGGAAAATTGCACAATATAAATCTATTCTAGTAGACCTCAACAATGGAATTATGATCAGTAGAAATGGCCATGACATGGGACCTTTAACTTAAGTATCCTGAAATATTACATAAAACTTGGTTCAGAATATTATGAAGGAACTTACTTGTGTGCTGTGCGTCCTCCACAAGCTTTCATTAGATCAGCATCAGAAAGCCTGTTTTGCAAATGAATAATGACATCAGATAGTTAATGAAACCTGATTGATTGTAAAGAAATGACACGAATAACACCTCCAGACTAAATAACAAAAAAGGTCAAGAGCTTAGTAGATGTAGTCACTGTGACTGTGATAAAGATATTGATAACAAATGATGATACATGTCATCAAAGGCTGCATCAGAGGAGGATCTTACTTTGTGGTGCTGGAGAGATCCAACTTCTGGTCGTCCTCCTCTGAGCTGCTGCTGTCGTCGGAGCTGGAAGGCTTCGGCTTCGGCTTCAGCTCCTGACCCGACAGCAGCGTGGACGACTGAGAGAGAAAAGCACGCAAAAACAAATCAAGTCAATGTCAGTTCAGACCAGAACCAGTCACATAGGGACGCACCATAAAAGTATAGAAATATGTCTGTAAATGTCTCACATTTCAGCATGTTTGAAACAGTAAAGGACTAGTCGGGTGATTTTTTTTTTGTCATCAACAAATTCCATGAAAAGATCAAAACTAACAATGGATTCTTTGAAGTATTTCTGTGTAGCTTATTCCCATATGCCATAGGTGTTGAGTATCAATTACCCATTATTATACAGCCAAGAAAGAACAAAATTACCTTGACAAAGCATCCATAAAGTTTGTCTCTTGCTAGCGTGGCTTGTCGTGGCTTCTTATTGGAGATCATCCCCAAGTCTTCATCTTCCTCCACGGTCTTCTTCAACTTGGTACCGTTCTGGATAGAACAGAAAACACATTACTTTCCGTCAACGATTAAACCAGCTGAATTAACTAATATACAAGAAATGAGGAAGTCATCAGCTGTTGTAGAAAGTGACTAAAAGGTAGATTAAAGGGTAACTTCTTCTACACCCAGTGGTGCAGAGGGAGGACTGAAAGGTATCAGCCAAAACTGTCCTGGCCTTATTTGTAATTGCGTCATCAAGATATCATTAAAAAAAGCTGACAATTCACTTGAATAAATAAATATACCAAGACTACTTCACTCACTACCTTTAGGTTAAAATGTCCCTTAACCATGTTGTTCTGCGTACAGGTGATTGTTGATTCATTTTTTTCAAGATTCAAAGGTTTCATTGTCATATGCACAAAGCTACAGTGTAGAAATGGCAATGAAATGATTCTGACCTGAGCTCCTCCAACAATGCAACATATATAATAAAATATGATGAATATGTGAAGTAGGACTCACCTGATCAGACTCCACCTGCAGGCTGGCAGAGGCTTTATTGAAGACATGATCCCACCAGTGGAAGGTGAACTCGTCTCCTTCCTTATGACCAACCTGGTAGAAAAGAGCACCGTGTGAGTCTACAACATGGACCCCACCATTGAAAGTGATGAGAGAAAACCCTGCATAAAACTAAATGTCACTCACCCCTCCTTTGCCACATTTTATTTTGACCTTGATAGCTTCTGATATGCCGTCCTCAGCTCGCCCCAGTCCTTTACCTGAGTGTGACAGTGGACTGAATTAGAAATCTCCACCTGTCTGACATATTTCAGAGGTTACACAAAAGAGATCAGAGTATCTTACCCTGTTCCCAGCCATGACGCAGGAGTTGCTTCTCTGCAAACTTCAAGGCACGACTTTTCTCTTGTACAACTCCTGCCATCTGTAGAAAGAAAGGTAAGTTTGAGGAGTTTTAAAAGTGTGTTTCTCACGGGACAGTGCTTTACATACTTAAATGAACTTAACAGACTATAATACATTGCTGAAGATTAAACTACAAAACGATATATAGACAGACAGGCAGATAGATATAGATAGTTTATTGATCCCAATTTGGGAAATGTTTGCGTTGCAACAACATAAAAACACAAGGCAATGTACATAAGAGAAACTAAGACACTTTAATAAACAGTCCAATATATTATTCCAACATCATATATTGACACATTGACAGGGATCATTTTATCACAGAATGACTTAAGTTACTTTTACTTATCATACTTTAAGTACATTTTCCTGATAATAATAACAACATACTTTTACTTTAGGTAGGTTTTAAATGCAGAACTTTTACTTGTCATGAGGTATTTTTCACTGTGGTTTAAAGGTAGGGTAGGTAAGTTTGAGAAACCGGCTCGAGATACACTTTTTGTTATATTCCATGGAATGCTCTTAACATCCCGATAGCAATGAATATCTTAAGTGCT